GTCGCTATGAGTCGGGGCCGACTCGACAGCACATAACAACAACAACAACAACAACAACTGTACACCTGCATTCTCTATCTTACATTGGCTCATCCATTTTATTTTTCCTCAGCAAACACATTACCATAAGATTAATCTTCTCAAAAGGTGATTTTCATTGTCATTAACTTGCTCCAAAATCTTCAAATGTTTCCAATTATCAATCAAATAAAGTTCAAATTCCTTAGTATAGGATTAAAGGACCTCTGCACTAAATAGCAAAAGAACTCTGGTGCTATGGTTGAGGCATTGGGTTGCTAACCAATTGGGTTGGTTGTTCGAACCCACCAGTTACTCCATGGGAGAAAGATGAGGCAGTCTACTTCAGTAAAGATTTACAGTCTTGGGAAACCCTACAGGGGTCGCTATGAGTCAGAATCAACTTGAAGGCAGTGGGTAGGGTTTGTACTCAATATCAAGGAGCTCTCATGGTGTAGTGATTAAAGATCTCGGCCATTAACTAAATGTTTGGCAGTTTGAATCCACCACATATTCTGTGGATGAGAGATGTGGCAGTCTGCTACTATAAATATTATAGCTTTGGAAACCCTATGAGGCAGTTCTACTCTGGACTATAGTTGCTATGAGTTAGACTGGACTTGACAGCAGTGGGTTTTTTGAGTTTGGGGCAATCAATATCCAATTTACTTCATCCCAATTCTCTTGCTATTGCTCTGTACAAATGCTTATTCCCTTATGAAAATCTTCCACTGCAGTCATTCTGATCTAATCACTCCCCCCTACAGAATAGATGTTTTGCATTACTCCCTGCATCAAAAATCTTCATCCTTTAACACTCATTCATGTATACATAAATTCTATCATCCTTCCAGTCCCTGCTTAAGTTATACTTCCTCTACAAAGTCTTCTCTATCTTATCTTTCTCTGAACGCCTGGGAATGCATTGTCTGGGCCACTGGTGGAAGAATTAATGAATGAATACATGAAATTCACAATGAAAGAAACAAAGGGATTCTAATCATTGATCATAATGAGAATTTTTTAAGCATTCTTACATGTATAGAAAGGACCACAAGAGGTCACTGCTTGGTCACAGTCAACTACCCAGAGGGACTGAGTAGTTGAACCTGTGGGCTTGGGACCATAGTTGCATGGGACATCAAGCTCAATTGGCATAACATACTATACAAAACATTGTTCCACCTCCTACTTTGGCGAGTAGCGACTGGGATCTTAAAAGCTAGCAAGCTGCTATCTAGATGCAATGATGGGTCTCTCTTTGTCCAGAGCAAAGAATGAAGAAAACCAAAATTCATGGAAACAATTAGTCCTAGCGACTGGTACACCATCTGATCTGCAGCCTATACGACTATGAGACCAGAAGAACTAGATGGTGCCCGGCTACCAGTGTCATCCACTTGGAAGGGGATCTATGTAGGAGATCCTTGATAGAGAGGGAGAACAATGTGGAACAAAACTCAAAATCATTTGGGGACAAAAAAGGGGGGGGGGCAGGTTTGCTTGTCCGATAGAGCCTGGTGGAACCACTGAGATTATGGCCCCTAGCTGCCCTTCAGGTCTGGAATTGAACCCACACCTGTGGTTTCCAGACAAACAAAAGACAGGCATATGAGTTAAACATTTACCTCAGTTAGATACACTCCTTGGAGAGAACAATCATGGGAGAAAGAAGGGCTGCTTATGCACAGGTAGACAGCTCAGGGGGCAGGAGTGCATGGAGGGAAGGACACAGAGAAGAGGTAACTATGGACAGGAAGTTGGAGGGGAGCTGTTGCATTGTGGTAAACTGTGGTCAATGTCATGAGACAAAGTGTATGTGAATTGCTGTATGGAAAGTGAATTTGCTCTGTAAATCTTCACCCAAATCACAATAAAAATAAATAAATAAAAATATATGGAAAAAGAAAAAAAGGACCACAAGATAATAGCAATTCTTCCTGGTATTACCATACATTTTTTTAATGTTTTCACAGACATCATTGACTATGATTCCTTAGTGATAAGTCATGGAGAGTCCACACCTACTAAATGAATTGTTAGATTGAATTTGACAAACTCCACGTGCTGTGGAGGCACAGAGAAAAAATGATTAATTGTGACTGACTTACTTAAACCAAACCCACTGCCCTCAAGTCAATTCAACACTATGAATCAGAGTTCAGTAGATTCTGACACTATGAGTCAGAATCGACTCAGTGGTGGCAGGTTTAGTTTTTTGTTTGGGTCAAGGGAGCTTCATTTAAGATGTGACACTGGGATTAGACTTTAAAGGAGAAATGGCATTTTATTGGTGGTTGAACATTCTGGGTAGAGTGGGCATAGCTTACATCAGGATGCCTTGAACAAAAAAAGGGATTTATTTCCATTGGAAGAGAATTCTGTCTTACTCCCTCTTCCAGACTATCTGCTCCATATGTGCAAAGGCCTTCTTTTATTCTCTGTGAGCTTAGATTTCCCAAGTTTAGATCTCATATTGTGGATAACCAAACAATGTTAGACTGATGAATAAATAAATTAACCTAGTCCTTTGATTTAGCCAGCACATGATGAGGCAATAAATGCTCTGACAACTCTCAGCAGCCGTTATATTATAGGGCTAAGAACTGCCTAAGTGATGTGTTATGCAACCCATGCAGTCAGTGCTTATCAGAGCAGTCCTGCAATGCAAATGAGACCGTAAGGAAAAGCTTACCTTATAAGAAGCTTAAAAACACCAGCCAAGAGGAGACTGCTTACCTGCCAGAGGCATTCAGGGAAAGACCAGTGAATTTATCATAGCCTTGAGGACCATAATCCCAAAGAATTTTTTCAGCAGCAATGAAGTAGTGCCTCTGTTGACCCTTCATCTTGGAGTGAGAGATAACATTTTTGCAGGTACCAACACTGTATTGCCCCAGCATACCAGCTGCAGAACATAGGAAAACCACAAGCCAAGATAAAAGTGCTTACCAAAAACAAGAAGACATCATATAGGAAAAGCTGATAGATTTGACTTCATGAATGTGTGAAAATTTTTGTACAGAAAATAGGATCATAAACAAAGCCAAAGGATAAATGGCAAAGTAGGGAAGCAAAGAGAAGCATCTGTAACACACATGACAAAAAGATTCATACAAAAATCACCTTTACAAATAAGAGAGAAAAAGGTAAATCTCTCAATAGAAAATGGGAAGGAACATAAAAAAATGAGTTATTCACCATCAACTATATGAGACCAAATGGTGAACATTTACCCAAAAACAAAGATGAGAAGGCAAGGAGGGGGAGAGAAGCTAGATCAATGGGAATAGAATGGAAATAATGACAATGCTGAGATATTGTGACAATTGTAACCAATGTAACAGAACATCTTCTATAAAAATTGTTAAACAGGAGTGTAACTTGTGTAAACTTTCACCTATAACACAATAAAATATGTTAAAAGACAAATTATTCACAAAACAAATACAATTGGTCAATAAAGGAGTTGTTTTTTTTTTTTTCCTTTTTTTTTTAAAGAAAGGAAAACAAAGAAAGTTTAACCTTAATTAAAGTGGCATTGTTCATTTATCAGATTGGTGAAGATTAGAAAGACTGATAATTCTCAGTGTTGGTAGACAAATCGAGAAAGGGCACATGCTCACACACTATGGGTGGAAGAGTAACAGTTTCTGAGAGGAGATAGGACAATTGCCTTCTAGACAGTGTCCCACCTCTTTAGCCTTCAAAGCCCTTCCCAGTATGGCCCAGCCTGTCTTTCTAGGCCTCTCTGTCATCACTGCTCTGCCATAAACCTAAAACCAGTTGCTATCGAGACAATTGGGACATCAGTGTCAGAGTTAAACTGTGCTCCATAGATATTCAATAGCTGATTTTTCAGAAATAGATTGTCAGGCCTTTCTTCCAAGGTGGCTCGGGGTGGACTCAAACTGTCAACCGTCTGTTTGGCAGCCAAGTATGTTAACTGTTTGTACCACCCAGGGATTCCACCATGAAACTTATGGTCCAGCTAAGTAAAGACTTATTTATTCTACTTGGTTCCAAGGAACTAAGACTAGATTATTCACTAGGCATTTGATTCACTAAATGTTTATTGTGTACCTACTATGAGTCAGAGTTAAACTCATTGGCAGCTAAAAACAACCATAGACCATAAAGAAAGCTATAGGATAATGGATTTTTTCTCAAGATAAAGAACTTTCAAATCAAACAAACTGGAGATGAAATAAGATGTTACAATTACTTAAAAGATATATTCACACCAAACAGTAGGCTATACAGATAAACACATAAACACCTGAGATGATCAGACAGGGGTCGGTGAACAGAATTATACTCTAGACCAAGGATAGATTCAGCTGGGGCTAATCTTGCACAGACAACAGTGATACAAAATACCTGCAGTTTTTACAAAAACAATAGAAGACGGACACAGAGTAATCCCTTACAGACAACCAGACACTAAGGGAGAGAGATCCAATAGATCTACTACCTCAGGACCATAGTACTGGGGGACACAAGACTCAATTGGCACAACAAAATACATAAAAGCCTTGCTCCACATCCTACATTGGTGAGTAGCGACTGGGGTCTTAAAAGCTTTCAAGCAGCCATCTAAGATGCAGCTAATGGTCTCCTAGCTCTGGAAGTGAAGAAGAATGCAAAAAAACAAAACAAAACAAAACAAAAAACCAAGGGCATTTAGAAGCAATCAGCCCTAGGACACGATGGCCCTCAAGACCAGAAGAACTAGATGGTGCCCAGGTACCAATGCCAACCACTCAGGAAAGGATCAAATCTGGAGATCCTGGATAGAGTGGGAGGGAAAACGTGGAACATGATCCAAAAACTCAATAATGGCCAGAATTACTGGTCAGATGAAATCTGGTGAGACTCCCAATACTACGGCCCTGGAATATATTCTGCGTCTGGAGTAAAACCCACCCCTGGGGTGGACTCTCAGCCCAATGGTCAACAAGATGTACATGCAGACCACTCAACGCAGTATGATGCACCCACATAGTCTATGGTAATACATCTCTTAGAGCAATAGACTGTGGGACACCAGAAGACCCACATTCAAATTGAGGAAATGCAGGACAAACAGGAGAGCATAAATATGAGGGGCACAGGGGGAGGGTTACAGGGTAGGGAGGGGAGGAGGCTGGGTTAGGGTTGGACATGGCGAATGGGGAATGAAACTAAATGTACACATTACATTGAATGTAAAACAAGCTCTTAAAATAATAATAATAATAATAATAAAGATATGTCCAAAAGGGAATTCAGGAATTGAATGGGAGATTGGTCTAGATTATCTATTAAGTCCTTTGCAGTGCTCAAAATGTATGATTCTGTTTACAGCTGCTTATATAGAAAATGTGTTTTTCTCAGTTGATATTGCTGCTTCTGACTAAGAAGCCTTTCTTTCTTCTTCATCTATTTAATGTCTCCTCTTATTTCAAGGTTCAGATTAGGAGCCAGCTTCTTCAAAAAACCCCTCTCTAAAGAGGTGATTATAGCACCCAAACAGCATTTATCTCAATTTGCCTCAAATTTGACTTGTTTTGTGATGGTCTAACTAGGTTTAACTATTAGACTGTAGGTTTCTTGATGGTTGTATAATTTCTTTCAATCACCCCCCCTTGCCTTGTTCATGGGGAGGTGATCAATACTTATCAGTTGATGGAGTGCCAAGTAAATGAGCATTGTACATTTTCCTATATATTTAACATGTATTTATAAGTCCCCCAGCCAAGAATGTAACTCTGAATGAACATCATTCACTGTGTGGTTTAAATGCAACATTCTAAGCATCTCTACATTTATTCTTTGTCCTTTTACCTTGTAAATGGTCACTGACTTGGCAGGTTATCATCCACTTCCCAGGATTCTCAACTATCATTTCTGTGGTCAGGAAGGTGGCTGGGAACAGGTTGACAACATCAGTTCGGTGCCCTCTGCTGATGAAGGTATTACCATAAAAATAGATGGAATGGATGTCTATCTCATTCCCCATTCCAAATAGGTGCCAGGACACAGATTCACCAACACACATTTCAGGCTCAGGGAAGTTTCCAAAGAGGTATCCATTGAGGGCTAAAAAAGAGAAATACACTCATGTAAGGGACTCTCCTGTTGGCAATAAATAGATTAGCACAGCTGAGAAGTCAGCTCAGATCATTGGTTGTAAGGTATTCATGCAGAAATGCACGGCTCCTTTAAAAAAAATGTCCCAGGAAGGAATGAGCATGTTGTATCAATCTTTTCAAGAGAAAAGCACTCAGTAAGAGTGACAATAGCATGTTGCTGTTGTTGTTAAGTGCCGTCGAGTCGTTTCTGACTCATAGCGACCCCATGCACAGCAGAACGAAACACTACCCGATCCCGCGCCAGCCCCACAATCCATGCTATACTCGAGCCCATCATCGCAGCCACTGTATCAATCCATCTCCCTGAAGGCCTCCCCCTCTTTCGGCGACCCTCCACCCTACCAAGCATGCCATCCTTCTCCAGGGAATGGTCCCTTCTTACAACATGACCAAAATAGGTGAGACGAAGTCTGGCCATTCTTGCTTCCAAGGAGCATTCTGGCTGCACTTCCTCCAGGACAGATCTGTTCTTTTAGCAGTCCACGGTACTTTCAGCATTCTTCGCCAGCACCACAACTCAAAAGCATCAACTCTTCTTCGGTCTTCCTTATTCATTGTCCAGCTCTCACATGCATACCAGGCGATTGGAAATATCATGGCTTGTGTCAGGCGCACCTTAGTCCTCAAGGAGATATCCTTGCTCCTCAGCACTTGAAACAGTTCCTTCGCAGTTGACTTTCCCAATGCTACACGTCGTCTAATGTCCTGACTGCTGCTTCCGTTGGCATCGATTGTAGAACCAAGCAACGTGAATTCCTTGACAACCTCAATCTTCTCTCCATTTATTGTGATGCTGCTCATTGGTCCAGTTGTGAGGATTTTTGTTTTCTTTGTGTTGAGATGTAATCCATACTGCAGACTGTATTCTTCAACCTTCATCAGTAGGTGCCTTAAGTCATCCTCACTTTCAGCAAGCAAAGTTGTATCGTCTGCATATCTCAGGTTGTTAATGATTCTTCCTCCAATCCTGATACCACGTTTTTCTTCATATAGTCCAGCTTCTCGGATTATTTGCTCAGCATACATAATAGCATACACAGCATAAACAGCCTTCAGGGCTGTATGTAAACTCAATAATGAGGTCAGGAGTAAGCAGCACACTGTTTATATGCCCAGGCTAACTCAGTCGCAGATGTAATCCTTCATTTCCGTATCTTCCTTCCTCACTGGGCTCTGCATTCCTCGGAGCCAGAACCATCTTACTCATGTTACAGCTATCAGAATCTGGCAGAAAAGCTCCCATGTGGTAGATACTTAATTTAAGAGACAAAATGCAACAAGATGGTGTGTGAACTGATTACAAGGGATTTATGAGACATGTATGTATTTTGTTACTTTAAAAGCAGGGGAGAAACTCAGTTTTTACTAGGTCTTGCTAGGGCATAATGTTACTGATCAAGCTTATGCCATAATTCCAGGACCTAATACATTTGAATCATAGAAAAAGCAGTCATAAAAATGAAGATAAGAACTTCATTTGGGGTTTTAAAAAGTTATACTGTCATTTTTTAAATTCAAAAGTGAGTTAAAAGGTGATTGTTACTAAGATAAAAATTACTTAGGCAGCTCAATTTATTCTAAATTTATTTCTATACTTTTTGGGTGTGTTTTTGTTTTTTTATACTTTTTAGGTCTCCTTTGTCAGTCTGAAGAATGATTGATTGTTTGCAAACATCTGCTTCTGCATACAGATTTTTTCTTTCTTTCTTTCTTTCTTTTTTTTAAAATGAAGTCTATATTTACTTGCAAGAACCCTGCTGGTGCAATGGTTATCTACTAATCTGCTAATCAAAAGATTGGTGGTTCGAACCCACCCAGCAGCTCTGTAAGAGAAAAGACCTGGTGATCTGCTCCTATAAAGATTACAGCCTGGGAAACCGTGTGGGGCAGTTCGACTCTGTCATTTGGAGTCACTATGAGTCAGAATCAGCTCGATGGCACCCAACAACAAAATATTTACTGATGTAATTAATGGATATTTTCACTTTGAAAGAAAGAGTACGAGGAATTATATGGGCATCTGAGCCTTAAACCATCACAATTAGTACTTTTCAGCAATATTTGAGATCATAACTCTTATTTTATAAAAAACAGAGATAAAACTTAAATGGTCACAGCAATGATATAAATGTAGGGTCCTTTTTTACTCCATCCTTCATTTTTATTACAGCTTCTCTGCCTTCTGATCTTCCTCCCTCCTTTACTTCCTTTCCTCTCAAAATATTTTCCAAGGATACACTGCACACAAAATCAAAAAAAACAAACTCACTGCCATGGAGTCAATTTGACTCCCATTGACCCCTCTGTGGGTTTCCCAGGCAGTATCTGTACAGAAGTTGATTGCCCAACCTTCCTTTCAAGGAGGGGCTGGTGGGTTTGAACCGCCAGCCTTCTGGTTAGCAGTCAAATGCCCTAGGCACTACGCCACCAGAGGTCCCCACTACACACAAAGCTGATGAAATAACACTAGAAGAAAAAGAGAGGGCGTGCAATACAATGAAAATAGTGTACTGAGAATTACGCCTTGACACTGGCACTAATTATTACTTTGAGTTTAGGCAAATCAGTGATGGTCTCTTGACCTCTGTTTCTTCATCTGTTAAATGGGGGAGGTCGGATAGTCTTCAGCTCCTTCCCTCTCTGTTATGATTTTATGACTATACTGAGGCTGCCTCCATTAGGATGATTCTGAGAGGCAGACAAGCAAAAGATTGAGGAACTTTGTCATTGAAGGAAATGGGGTATTTATGTTGAAGATTTCCTTTAGTTTTACTAGAACCCTCTGGAAGAAAGTGGAATAAAACCACTAAATAATCTCTACACCATAAAATTCTGATTCAGCCACTGCTCCTCAAAACTGGGATGGGTAAGTGTTCTGTCTCAGATGACAGGGTATCTATAGAAATTCACTCTGTTGGCTTAAGGAGCTCTGGTAGCATAGTGCCTAAGGCACTTGACTGCTAACCATAAGGCTGGTGGTTCATACCCACCAGCCACTCCTCAGAAGAAAGGTTGGGCAATCTACTTCCATAGTGATACTGCCTCGGCAACCCAAGGAGGGGTCACTATGAGTTGGGGCCGACTCGATGGCACATCACAACAACAACAACATGTTGGCTGAATACAGGGTCTTTGTTGATTTAAATAATACCTGGGAAACAGCAAATTGACAAGTATATATTTAAATCCTATAAATAGCATAGCCTTGACATTTAGCAGCCACTCAGAAAATGGTTACTAGAGAAAGCAAGAGGTTGTAAAACACAAGATTTAATTTTTTAAATTTTATTTTGGTGAAAGCATGGACCATTTCAACAATTTCTACATGTACAATTTAGTGACATTGGTTACATTAGTAAAGTTGTGCTAGCATTCTCTATATACCTACTATACAGCCACAATAGTTAAAACAGCTTGGTATTGGTACAATAAGAGATATATAGGCCAATGGAATAGAATTGAGAACCCAGAAATAGCTCCATCCACCTATGGTCAATTGATCTTTGACAAAGGGCCAAAATCCATTAAATGGAAAAGAGATAGTCTTTTTAACAAATGGTGCTGGCAAAACTGGATGTCCACATTATTCCATCAGCATTATTTTCAACTCACTGTCCCCTAAACTTCCCATCCAACCTTTCAAGTTGCTGTTGTCAATTTGATCTCACACAGATAATTCTTTAAAAGACCACACTGCTCAAAGCAGATGTACTGATTAAAATAAGCTATTTTTTGGTTTAAAGAAGACTTTAGGGGATAGTTTTGGTTTAAAGTTCAAAGTTTAAAGATTATCTAAGGGTAATAGTTTTAGAGGTTCATCCAGCCTAAATGACTCCATAAAGTCTGGATTCCTTTGAAAATCTGAAACTCTGTTCTGAATTTCCCTCTCTTTTGATCAGGATTCTTCTATAGAATCTTTGATCAAAATATTCAGTAATGGCAGCCTGGCACCTTCCAGTTCTTCTGGTCTCATGGCAAAGGAGGCAGTTATAAACACAGGATAATTATATAATAATGAGTTGGTTCTCTTTTCTCCTTTCTATCATTCTAAACCTACTCATCCTCTGGGCACCCTGCACTTCCTGACTCTTTCCTGATTATAAAAATTAATCTCTCTTTCTTCTGTACCACAATTTTGTCCATATTTCATACCCAATTTAATACTTATCTATTGCCTTGTCCCATTTCATATTTTTTTTTTGCTTTTTAAAAATTTTTATTGTAATTTGGGTGAAAATTTACACAGTAAATTAGTTTTCCATTCAACAATTTGTACACATTTTATTTTCTGACATTGGTTGCAATCCCCTCAATGTAACAATACCTTTCCCCCTTCCTCCCTGGGTTCCCCATTTCCATTCATCCCCCTTTCCTGCTCCTTCTTGCCTTCTGAGCTTTGTTTTTGGGCAAATGCATGTTCACCTACATGTGAGCACCTACCCAGGGAGATGCACCCTTTAGATCAATCGACCACGACACATGAGGGGGCAGTATTCACATAGAAGGAAAACTGGACAGGCAGGAATGCATAAATAAGAAGGGCACAGGGTGGGGGTAGTCATGGGGAGAAGAAGGGATAAGAACTTTTTATGGTTGAGGATTATAACAGGAGTCGTGAAATCAAATGTACATGAACTGTTGAGTATAAAATAAATCTTCTTTATAAATTTGTACCCAAAGCATAATTTAAAAAGAAAAAGAAAGAAAAAACAGAAGACTGGTGCAAGATAGCACAGTGGGCTTCCCAGCCCACTGAGCAAGGCAGCTACAGTGGGTGTGCCAACCCACTGAGAGAACTGAGCACCTTTGGGCAAAGGTCTTGTTGGCAGAGTACAGTGTCTCCAGGCATTTGTGGAGCTAAAGAGCTCTGTAATGCTTGAGCAGGGCAAGGCCAGGCTGAGGGCCAAGGGGCCAAGGGGTGAGGGGCCACAAGCCAAGAGGCCTCCC